AGCGACTGCTGAGCACATGCAAGACTCTGGGTTCTGTCCCAACACTGCAGAAAGAAAATAAAGTTAAAAAAAAAAAAAAGTGGTATCTAAATGAAAGGGACTGTAGGCCAAATCAGTAGAGGGGAAATTGGTTTTAGTTCGTTTTTCTAAAATATTTAAATAGTTAATTAATTAATTTTGAAACTGAGGTTTTAACTCTGGACCTCTTTACCATTGAGCTATATCTCCAACCCTTTTTATTGTTTATTTTAAGACAGCATCTCACTAAGTTTAGGGTCTCACTAAGTTGCTGAGGCTGGCTTTGAACTTGCAATTCTCCTGCCTCAGCCTCCTGAGTCACTGGATGACAGGGATATATTGCTGCTTTTTGTGTGTGTGATACTTGGAAGTAAACCCAGGAACACTGTATATCAGTGAGCCACATCCCCAGCCTTTTTATTTTCTGTTTTGAGACAGGACCTTGCTAAGTTGCTGAGGCTGGCTTTGAACTTGCAATCCTCCTGCTTGAGCCTCCTGAGTCTCTGGGATTATAGGCATGCCAAGTTTGGATCTGTGGTTTTTCAAGGATTTCTCAACTTTTCTTAGCTTTGCTGAACTTGGCGAGTCTTGCTCTTCTTGGACACTCCATCAGACCACATAGCAGTCACAGAAGGAAGACTGAGCCGGGAGGGGGAGGTGTGTTCACAAGGCTCTGCGAATATCGGATCAAATGTTATTGGCCTGTATTCAGATGTCTTTTTGTGTGTGTGTTTAGCTTTGTAGAAAATGGTGAGCATGATTTAGCTCTCTCTAGGGACCAAATATAAAAATATCCTATGAATATCAGAAAAAGAAATCGTCACCCATAGGAATTTTTCTGGTCTTAACAGTTCGATAATGGGTCTCCCATCTTACTGCACCTCCAGCCCCATAAGGATGGAGTAAACTGCTGTCCTCATTCAAGAAGGGAAATATCATGACATGTTCACTGAGTGCTTCTCATTCTTCAGGTGAGAGGGTCACTAGAGTGGGGCTCAGTGAAGAGGAGGCAGCAGTAGTTAGGACATTTGCAAACTCTTGGGGCCTTACAAAGAAGCAGAAGATAAGCTCACAGTTCCAGGAGCCAAGAGTGAGGATCTGAAGTCATCGCTATGCATCTTGCTGAGGATCTCTGGAGGCCTGGAGGATTCTGTCAAAACCTACAACCTGTTTCTATACTAAACTGTGGCCTTGTGGTCCTGGCACTGCCTGGAGGTACACAGAGAAAAACCTCAAGTAGCAATGTGAAGACCTGGGTTTGGGGATTGTCTCTGTTCCTTGCTAGCAAGTCAACTTAATAGTAATACCTGGCACTCTATGGATGCTTAATGAATGCGGATTGAATGGATAAATAAATAAGTAAACCACCTGCCGGATCCTCAGTTTCCCCATCTTGGGAAACAGGGGAACAGTACCTCTCCAACAGGTTATGATATGGTAGATAGACTTTTTTCTGAGATGGCACCTGTGTGGATCACACTGGACTGCTCACATGCATATTCTGATTCAGCAGGTCTGGGGAGGGTGGTCCTGTGTCCTACATTTCCAACTGACCCCAAGATTGCTCACACAGACTGTCTGGACACACTGAATAGCAAGTGATCAAGTGCCAATGGGATGGGAGAGCTGTTCCAAGGAGAGAGTGTCCCTAAGTGTCCCTGAGGAGCCATCTGGGGTGCAGGACTCTCAGTGTTAGAAACAGGAAAGTCCTGGACCAACTAAAATAAGTTGGTCAACTTATCAGGATAATGGAAGAGAATGAGATGCTTTGGTCTAATTTCTTTTTTTTTTTTTCTTTTGGTATTGGGATTGAACTCAGAGGTGCTCGACCACTGAGCCCCCATCTCCAGCCCTATTTTGTATTTTATTTAGAGACAGGTCTCACTTAGTTGCTTAGCGCCTTGCTTGTTTTGCTGAGGCTGGCTTTGAACTCACGATCCTCCTGCCTCAGCCTCCTAAACTGCTGGGATTACAGGCATGTGGCCCCATGGCCCATGCTTTAGTCTAATTTGCTCAGTGAACTGAAAACAAATAGGTGAGTGGTTTACTAAGGTCCTACCTGGGACCAATGAGTCTAGCTTGACTTATTTCACAGAAGTGGAACAAGCCCAGAGAGGTTGGGTGGCTTGGCCCATGTCATACAGCTATTCAGGAGCAGGGCTGGGATCCAAGCTCCCACCTTCTGACTCCGTGTGTAGCTCAGCACCTCTCCACCAGTCCCCATTGGCTTTTCCAACACATTCCTCTTTATTTGGCAAACACAGTATATTTATTTATAAATTGGCTTGTTTGGAACTTGAAATTTGGCATCGTTGATTTTGGCTGTGAGGAGTTCAAATTTTTCCTCTCTTTGTTTTGGTGTGCTAAACTATGTTTTGTGAGCAAAAACACAAAGAAATAAAACACAAGGAGGCTGCTAAAGTTGTTCAAATGCAAAGCATCCAGAAATGTGACAGTATCCACTTACTCAGATTTATTTTGTATCTTTAGATAGTAGATTAAAAATGCATGAGGTTGACTTCCAGGGATTTACAAACCCAATAAGTAAATAGCCAGGGTTGTTTCCCTAGATGTTTCTTGGAGCTGGGGCAGGAGTTTGGGAAAAGTGCCCCTGATGGACTGGGGTCTGGTAGATGTTCATATGCTCCCAAGGTCAGGTCCTTGGGAAAATGTCAGTCATCAGGACCAAGGTATATGCACCCCAAATCCTTAGCATTTTATTTTGCACACAATGGAGGTTGTAAAAGATTGTTGCCTTTGAAAAAATTAACATTGAGAATTCACACAAAATATGTGAATACTTTCTTTTTAGGGCAGCGAGGGTACCCTTAGTCCCCAGGTCCTCCTTGATGTGCTAAAAATTCAGGTAGGTTGAGAGAAAAAAACTGATGTGACCTTAATTCTTTTGGTGTTGGCTCTCATGGCCAGGGAGTCTGTTCTGGGACCTGGGAAACAGTCTTAGCCCTGCAGATGAATGGTCAGATGAATGGTCAGCTCAGGGGTGAATGCTGCATCTAAACAGTGTGATTGGCTGGCAGCTTGTGCCATTGTCTTTAATTAACAAACTCAGCAAAGTCTGAGTACAGCTGCAGCCTTGTCCAATGTTTTTTAAAAATAAAATGTGTGTGTGTACACATGATGCAGGGGAACTCTAGTTAAACATAAAATTTTAAAAAATTGTCTTCAAAGGTCCATCAAGAACCTTCATAGTGACCAGAGGACATTTTTTTTTTTTTTTTAAACCTCAGGCTCAGGCTGAGACCTGAACAAGCGGCCTCCAGTGTTCCAGGGCCTGCCGGGCCAGCTGGGTGATACCTGATTATGGGCTGAGGGTGCTGGGGTTTACAGCTGGGCTCATGTGACTTGTATTTGTCCAGCCCTTACTGGACAAGTCCACAGATCTAGGAGTGGCTGAATGAAGGCTGTGCTCACAGCCTGATTCTGGGTGTCTTCTTGAACTTGGTAGTCTCTGCATTCCTCTTAGTATTTCCATTTTTCTTTTAGCTCTCTTGAGGGCTCTGATACAAAACAGAGCCTTCCTAAAACCTTCCATCTCTGAGCAACATGGAAAACTTCATGGTCCTATTTCACAGAGTCGGAGCTTCCTGTTAGTGATGGACTTTCGTGGACTCTGACCCCTCAGGATCCCCAAAGACGCCAGGAGGCACCTGCCAGTCACCTGCTTTCCCTGGAGAGTATATATGCCTGTGGGGTGGAAAGGCCTGGAAATCTGGTTGGTGGTGCACAGTATCTGAGATACTCACTCCCTCGTCTTGTTAGATAGGCAGCCAGACTCTGAGCAGTGACCTTGAGACCCTTGTCTCCCTCTGGTCACTCACTCTTGAAGCAAAACACTCACCATTGCTACCCAATTAACCTGCTCTAAGCCTTGGGGTCCAATGCCTGGGTCTGTATAAGAAATACTTATCTTGTCTAAGACCCTCGAGGATACTCAGGGCCCAGCATCAACTATGAGGTGCTTGGCTCTGTTTCTTGGGAGTCTTGATCTAAGTGTTTTGGCTTGAGAAATCCATTAATGTCCAGAGGCTATTATTGTCCAGAGGCCTCTCTTAGTGACACATCTTTAGTTCTTTTTTTTTTTAAATATTTTTTTTAGTTGTAGACAGACACAATAACTTTATTTTATTTATTTGTTTCTATGTGGTGCTGAGGATTGAACCCAGTGCCTCACACATGCTAGGCAAACGCTCTGCCAACTGAGCCCCAGCCCCAACCCTAGCCCCAATCCTCATCCTTGGTTTTAACAGCTCCACTGCCCTGGCCACTAACACTCCAGGGGTCAGCCAGGTTTCTGTGGCCAGGGCCAAGGCATCCCTTCTCCACCGGCAGTGGCTAGGGGCAGAGTTCTCCCTGTCACCAGGTCCTTTTTCCCTTGTCAACATTCTTTCTCTTCAGGAATCCAGAATGGGTGACTGAACACCGGGAAAAACTATGCTGGAGTTTGGGAGTGAGGCAAATGGTGCTGCCCACTGCCGTAGGCCACAGCAGGAGCTTCCGGCTGGACATTTTAGGCACGGCCATCACAGATGCTTTGCTACTGAGTCTGAGCCAAGACGGCCAGAGGTCTGGATGCCAGGTCACTGTTGGGAGAGCTTTACCCATCCTTCTGTCTTCTGAAGTTTGCAAAGAACTCTTCTCTGCTGCATTGTCATTTTTCTTTCTCAAGTGCAGATTCCTCTTCCCCTACCCCCTCTCCCAGCCCTTTCTTCTCCGGTTGGTGAAGCAGGACAGAGGACCAGCGGGCTTCCCACTCTGCTTGTCTTTAGAGTCCTGACTGCAGATAAACCGTGAAGCAGCTAGAAAACCATCCGTCAAGGCTTCCCATGCGTCTGGCTATTTGCACTGCCTACCCACCGCCCCCCCCCCAAAAAAAAACCCCCACACACACTGAATTGCCAGATACTCTAACTCTTTCTTTGCAGCCTCCCAGTGACCAGCACAAAGGGGCATGACTAACTGGATACTGTGACTTAACATTTATTTGCCTTTTTTTATTTTTTTTTCCACTTAGAATGAGGGTGAGCTCTAGATTTTAATTTCCAGTGCCCTTCAGAAGCAACCCTGGCTCCTCCCCGGGACAGAAGTCCCTGAAACCAGGCTGAGTTTGGGAGTCTGCACTTCCTGCCCCCAAAACTTCTTGCAGAGCAAGGGAGACGGTGGGACATTTCCAAGTCAAGGTCTTAGGTAGAAAATTCTCCCTCCGATGCCAGTGCCGGCTTCCTCTGTCTTACCTGCTCTGCAGCTTTGCTGCTCAACAGTGTCCAACAGAAGATCCCCCTGGCTGTGTGGGTGTCAAGGAATCCTCAAGTTCCCCTGTTTGTCCCTAATGACTATAGAAATCCAGTTCAGAGAAAGAAAAATATGAACTAAGCAAGCTCTGCCTTTAGAGGTACTTAGTGGCATCGACCGCAGTACAGGCCAGTGGGTAAAACGGGCACCTGACATACTGATGGGAAAAGGAGCCCCACATGGGGCGTGGGCTACCCAGGGCTTAGCCCACCAGGTGGAACCTGGGCGCAAAGCTTGGCTGTAGGTTGCACTTGCTCAGATGCACAAGTCCTGGGAAGGGAGCCAAGTCTGAAATGCAAATTTCCCCACAGCTGCGTCTTTTTCCTCTTTTTTTTTTTTTTATAAATAATTATTTTTAGTTGTAGTTGGACACAATACCTTTATTTTATCTATTTATTTTTATGTGGTGCTGAGGATCGAACCCAGAGCCTCGCATGCACTAGGCGAGCGCTCTGCCGCTGAGCCCCAGCCCCAGCCCCTTCTTCCTTTCCTCTTGTTTGGCTTCTCTCCCATGATGACATGTCCTAAGGGCTTAGATCTTCACAGATGGAGAGAACCCCTTCTTTGGCTTCCAGAGCCACAGAAGCTGGGGCTAAGTGCGCTGCCTCCAGAGCCAGGAGGACCAGCTCTTGAGTCTATGCCCTGGAACGCAGCAGTCCTGCCCCAGGCTTTTTAGTGAGCCTGTGATCTACACAGGAGCCTCAAGAGGCCGGAAGGGCATGAGGCCACCTCCAGTGGGGAGGTAGGTCTGGGACAGCTAGAGAGTAGATCATTGAGAGAACCAAGGGGAGACCCCTCTTATTAAACAGGATGAGATTAGGTGATTGTTCATTTAAACCCCGCCCCCTGGTTGCTGTGCTGCCCCCTCTTTAGCTGGGCTGTGGGCTAAACTGCGGCCCCAGCACCACAAGCCACCCATCTCCTCTTCTGGGCCCAGGTGCTTGGAGAAGGCCTGCAAAAGTTACTTCTCTTTGCACAGCTCATCTTTTCTGGCCATCCTGGGTTTTCTTGTCTGGCCTCAGCACTGCTCGGCCTCCACAAAGCCCTCCTTCTCATGGCCCGAGGGCTCCACCTCAGTGTAGGTGGAGTGGTTGGGGTGGTTGCGGAACTTCATGGCTGGCCAGTGGTGAGGTCTCCGCTGCAGGGGATTCAGGGGACAGAAACAGAGTCAGCAGACATGATCTCTCCATGGGGACCCCACCACCAAGGGACAGTGCCATAATTCTCTCTTATAAGGACTCTGGGGTGCTGGGGCCCACTGGGCTCCAGGTGATAGTCAGGGAAACTCTCCCCAAAAGGCTCCCCACTGTCACCCCTTGAACACTGGAGCCAGTGTTTGGAAGAAGTACATTTGATCCCTCACTGTGTGGTCTACACAACTGTTGCTGAAGCTTTGAGTTATGGGTCAGAGATGACTGGAGTGATCTGGGAGGCTCTGGAAATGCCAAAATAACCCTCCAGACATCACAGATTCTGCATCAGAGGGAACCGGGGGGTTTACTGAAATGCAGGTTCCTGGGCCCAGCTTAGACCTACTCCATCAGAGTCCCTGTGGCCTGGGGATCTGCAGTTCCCAGGTGATACCCAGGTGGGTTAAGACTTCAGAAAGACTGATGAGGACCCATAAATAAGGTTGTGCAGAGGAGACTGAGGTGCCAGAGGGCCATGGTTGTGCCCCTCTGAAAACCTTTGAAATGATCCTTTTTAATAAGGAGCATAAGGAAAGTTCTCTCTGATAACTTTTAAGGAATTCCCAAAGGGTACCACCGGCTTGCAGCCTTCCGGAGGGCAAGGACAGTATCTTAATTATCTTTGTGTCCTCAGCTCCTAGCAAACACCATGGACACACTGTGAGCACTCAGCTAATTCTATGAAAAGAGCTGTATCTTCTGGGAGCTAATAACCCAGCTTAGAGCGGAGGGCTGGACAGCAGCTGCTGGAATCTGTGGCTCAGAGTGCTGGGGGTTGAGTCTTCCTTCCCGTGTGGCCCCTCGGCTGGCCCCTCAGCATTCTGGGACATTTGGAACCGAAGTATCCTCAACTAAAACTCCCAGAGAGCACAGCCCTCATTACCATTTCCACTTTTCATTTGTCATCTAAAAAAAATCCAAAGCAGCAGCAAAAGAGGTTGGTTCTATTATGGCTCCAAATAAGTCCCAAGTCTGCAATTTGGGCAAGAGACACCATAAATCATTAGGGAACGGCTGCCCAGCCGCTAAATGGGCTCTATATGGTATTTTTGGCCTTCAATCTTTCCTCTGGGGACTTTTCTAGTTTCACAAATGGGGAAACAAAAGCAGACAGGCTGTTCTAGGGACAGAGAGCCAAGGGGCTGAACCCTGGGGGTGATGGGCACAAAGGGCACCAACCAACCACTGAGAGATGTGCCAGGAGGGGGCTGGTGTAGGTTTCTCAGGCAGGTGATGTGTGAGAAGTGCAAGGGGAAAAGGTGGGTACCCAATGGCCTTGGAATCCCTGATACAGAGTGGACGGCAGAACCGAGACCACATTCTACACTGACCTCGATGAAGAACAGCGCAGCATTAGAGTTGGGGTGGCCATTAATGTAAATACCAGCCAGGATGATGGCTGCCACCAGGAGGACGGCCAGCACGATGCCCACGATGGTGCCCAGGTGCACAGGGGGGCCTTTTGTCTTTGGGGACAGGTTGTCCTGGAGACCTGTGGAGAGACCATTAGGGCAGGGAGGGGCTGCAGGGGAGCAGGAAAAGTTGGGCCATGGAGTCTTGGGTTCTATAAAAGTCCCCAAGATGAAAGTCCACAGGACCTTTGGGTCCACTTATCAAAAACATGAGAAAGGTGGGACAGAAGCTGGTGGAATTGGGAGGAGTACAGCATTAACGTTGTTCTTAGCACCTCTCGGGAGGTTTTCCAAAACCACTTAAAAGCTGTCCAAATGCTTAACAAGGATTGTAAAGGAAGTTCTCTTGAACATCTGTGTCACACAATCACCTTTAAGGAATTCATAAAAGGTATGTGATAGTTAAGAGTTGGGATCTAGGATTTGGCTGCTTGGGTTCAAATCTATCCTCTGCTACACACTAGCTACGTGACCTTGGGCAAATTATTTACCTCTGTGCCTCCATTATCACTTCTGTAGAACAACAACAACAGTAATAATAACAATAACTACCTAACAGGATTATTGTGAGGGTTAAAATGAGATGTCATGTCAATAACTGAGGACATGCTGAGCATCTTAGAAGACCCAATAAGTATCAACTATTATGATAGCAAAGGACGATATTTCTACTTGTCACTGTCGACCAAATTGAGACACCCTGGAGGACAGGGGCAGGGTCTTATTCATCTTTGTGTCCTCAGCTCTTAGGAGAAATGGTGGACACACAGTTGAGCTCTACAGAATGGACTAGGTCCCCTGAGATCTAACAGTCAGTAGGCACTCTCCAAGGACATCTCAGTGTTTGGAATGCATCCCAAGGAGGACAGGAAGTTTCCACGGACCAGAGAGCTGGGAGCCCTCTTTCCTGTGTGACTGAGGGAATGGAAATGGAGGTTAGCAATTTACCCAAGGACACACCAGTCCAGGGCCAGCTCTAGGCAGCCTGATTCCCTGACATTACCTGGGGACTGTAGGGATGACAAGGCGGAGAAGACAGGTGGTTATGTCAGCCACAGAAATCTTGAGCCCTTTTTACACACCAGTGGGCGAAATGGGAGGCAACAGAGGGTGAGGGCTTTTAATAGGACGTGTTCAAAATCATTGTCCTCCTAGCCCCTGCTCTCTGTCACTCGGTAAGCTGAGGAAACTCAGGAGAGAAGCTATCCAGGCACCGCAGAGCTTGGCTAGCGCCCCCGTGCCAAGAGGTGGGAAGAGTTGAGGTAACACAGGTCACAAGCCAGTCTCCCGGACCTGCTGGCCACCAGCCCACAACCTGCCACTCTGGTGACTTCACAGGCAGGACTTGGTTGACTGGAGGTACAGCCCTCCACCCACAACATTCCCTCTGTGCCTCCCTCTGTCCCTCCCGCTGCCTGGAGAGGAGCAATGGCGCCCTCTCTGGTGGGAGATGCATCCAACTGCCCTGCCTTAACCACCTCTCCTGAGGGCATCAGAGAACAACCTCTAGCCTGCAGTAGGAAGGGGCGCCTGCCCTCACAGCAGCTGCAGCAGAGCCCAGCTGGCCCTGGGCGATGGACAGGGGAGGAGGGCCCCATCACCCGCCAGCTCATCCTCCCAGGCATCCCCGAGGCTGGATGAACCTGCCTTCTGGTGCTCTGCAAAGCTTATGATGGGACAACTTCTGTGTGCTGTGGGCCAACCCACAAGGGAACTTAATGTCAGAGAAATTGCTTCCCCTCGCTGACTAGGAGGCCCATGGGGGGGGGGCATGGCCACCAGCCCCACCAGCCATGTCTGCCCAGGCTCAGACTTCCCCTCCCGCCTCTTCAGGGCAGCTAATATTCAAGAGTGGGAGGCCAGGAAGAACCTCTGGAGGATCTGGCTAAGGTAGAAATGTTTGGGTAGACATGTTCCTTCAATCTAGGGGCCTGGGCCCAGAGTGCCCCCTGCCTTCCCACCTAGCAGGCGGTCTGGGCCGTCCACATTGGCTGCTTTGCTCCTCCTCTCGGCCACAAAAAGAGGCCCAGTGCACCCTCTTGGGTAGGGCAGACCCAGGGGTACGGGGAAGAGGGCAGGTGGTTCTATACTCACCATCTCCTGCGTAAGGGTTCAACTTGGTATCATCTTCAAAGAGAGAAGACAAAGGAGCAAGATTAGTGGAATCACTATGCCTTTGTCTCCCTGGGTCTGGATGGGATTTTAGGAGCTTTGGTTCAGCTGCAGTGCAGAGAGGGGAGGTGACTTGCCTAGAGTCTCACAGCAGTGCAAGGGTAGAAGGCCAGAGCAAGTCGGGATGACTTTCCTGTCAATTATTGACTCATTCAACAAATATTTATTGAGCATTTACTGTGGGCTGAACCCTGGGAATAGGTGCTGGTGACACTGCAAGTAACAGACATGGTCCCTGCCTTTGAGGAATAACAGGTGGGAGAATGGAGGACTCACAATGATAGGCATGTAGCAGTGATAGAGCATGTGCCTAGCATGCCTGAGACTCTGGGTCAAAAATAGATAAAATCCACATGATGCTGAGCACAATGGCGCACACCTGTAATCCCAGCAGCTTGGGAGGCTGAGATAGGTGGATCATGAGTTCAAAGCCAGCCTCAGCAATGGCGAAGCACTACACAACTCAATGAGACCCTGTCTCTAAATAAAATACTAAATAGGGCTGGGGATGTGGCTCAGTGGTTGAGTGCCTCTGAGTTCAATCCCCAGTAACAAAAAACAAAACAAAACAAAATAAAAAAACTTGGTCAGTTGAGAGTAGCAAACTAACTGGGGACAGTGGCCCATGCTTATAATCCCAACTCCTTGGGAGACTGAGGAAGGAGGATCAGAAGTTCAGAGCCAGACTCTGCAACTTAGCAAGACTCTGTCTCAAAATAAAATAAAAAGAGATGGGGATGTACCTCAGTGGTAGGGTGCTTGCCTAGCATGTGTGGGGCCCTAGTTAAAAAAAAAAAGAAGAGGAAAAAGCAATTCCCCAAAATTGAAAGGAAAATAAATTATAGATTTCTACAGGTGAATTTTCTTCCAGAATTTCAATAAACAAGAACTTTTTGAGCAGAATTTCAAACCTATTTTTTAAAAATAGTAACTTACTTTTTAAAACAACTTTATTTTATGTATCTATATTTTTATGTGGTGCTGAGGATCAAACCCAGTGCCTCACACATGCTAGGCAAGGGCTCTGCCACTGAGCCACAACTCCAGCCCTTCACATGCATTTTGTTATTGCAAGTTGACAACAATGAATTGGCTAATAAAAACTGACCAAAATAACCTAAATATCACTGGGCATAACTTGATTCAGAAGAACATGAGAATATAGACCATTAAAAATCCATTGTAGCCTGGTCCACACTTACCTCTGGTAGACAAAAGGACATGGTGCCTGTCACAGTCCCTCCCATAGAGCCACTGAAGGTGGATTCACTGGGCCCACCACAGCCTCTTTCCTACTCACCAAGGACTGGCTCCCAGCTGCCATCTTGCCAGAACTCCATGGAATGCAAATTGGCTCCCTAATTAATGAGTTGAGGTATCATCCCATGAAACTCACAGAGGAAGAAGTGCATGTAGTGCTTATCGAATGAGAGGTCATTTTTCTGTAGTTGTCTGTCCCTTCTTGCTGCTACCAATGTGATCTGTCAGCTGCTTATAAGATGAGCCCTTGTACTACACACAGCTCTTCTGGGCTTTGTGCCTGTAATTTGCCACTCAGAGGTGGTGTGGCCCCCTGGAGTTGCAAGTGAAGAACTTGGAGTCCAGCCCCCAGGCCTCCTCTCCCCTAGTCCTCTCTGCTCTCAGACTCTGCACGTCCCCCAGGAAAGCTGCATCCCCTTGGTTTATAACATGTCCCCATTACAGACTGTTCCACAAGATGAACTGCACCAAACAGACTCTATCCCACACCTGTCTCTTAAGTGCCCTACAATGATAAGGCTGGGGATGTAGCTCAGTGGTTAAGTGCTCCTGAGTTCAATCTCCAGTAACAACAACAACAACAACAAAAGGACTTGGTCGGTTGAGAGTAGCAAACCAGCTGGGTACAGTGGCCCATGTGCGGCGAGCGGGCACCTGGCCTCAGTTCTGTCAAGATGCCTTGAGAGCTAGGCATGTGGGGGACAGTCATCATTAAAAGATCTCTATTTTTGTGGTGCTGGGGATCGAACACAGGGCCTTGAGGATGCTAGGCAACTGCTGTGCCCCTGAGCCACCTCTCCAGCCCCAAAGTTCTTGACAATATTAGCCACCTCCTCCAGGCCTGGAAGGACGTGGAGCCATAATCGTCCTCACTTACTATAATGCTTTTTGTTGTTACACAGCAGAAGTGAGGCCAGTTCCTGGTCTGGCAGGAGCCAGACAACAAAATGGGCAAACAGAATCTGCTGCCTCTGTGAGGGACAGCCACCACAGTAGTGACAGAGCACCAGTCCCTGCAATCTCAAGTTATTACCAGTCAGGATTTAGAACAGGCCCCCAGATGCTGTGTCCTGGGCTCTCTGTGCCCACCACTGCCACCCCTCCAGCCTCTGACACTGTGGCTCAACCAGATGGTGAAGTCCTGAGTGAGGTGAGGGAGCTGTCTGCACCCCCAGCCCAGTGCCAGCCAGAGCGTGCCCTCGAAGCACAGGGTGGACTGAGGGAGACTGGCCAAGGGTTGCTTCCTTCTGGTGGAGCTTCCCTTCACTGGAGGGTCACCCCTGCACTTGGCTGCTAACTCCCCAAGGGCCAGGTCTCTTTATGCTTCCTCTTCATTTAATCCCCGGAAGCAGCAGCACCTCAGCTCTTAGTACCTGAGTCTCAACCAGCTCCTTGCTATTTCCCAGCAGCCTCAGGGTGACCAAGCCACCCGAGTCTGCTTCACGTGTCCACCTTTGGCTCTATTCCCTGTTCCCTGAATTGTTACCAACCATTTTCATCTCTTTCAGCACTGAAAAAGGCAGTGGGGTCAAGGGGAAGGAGAGCATCTTTTGGAGCCAGATGAGACCTGACTCCATCTCCTCCTGCTGGGTGGCCCTGGGCAAGTCATCTATCTCTCTGAGTCTTAATGTCCTCTCTATAAAATGGAGACATAACAATATCAACAACCAGAATGTTTAGGAGGACTAAATATTAATTTGTACCTGACTGTAGCAACCTACCCGTCACATGGCCAGTCCCCCCAAGATATTAGCTCTTTCTGTCATATCTCATTCTCCTCTGTGACTTCACTCTGGCCAGGAGACCCTGATTTAGTTCTTCAGTTCACCGGGCAATATTTAGAAAGGTGAGGGCACCTCATGTGGGCCTGAGTCACCTACTTTGCCCCTTATAAGCCTATTTCCTTATCGGTAAATTAGGATGGTGGCTAAATATTTTAAAATACTAACTTTTTCCTTCTTTCCCCCTATCTGTTATTCCTTCTAAGCAAATGTTTGGCTCAGAGGAGGCTAAGAGCTCATAATCCTCCGGTCTTTCTTTAAGGGAAAGGGGCTTTCAAATCTAGAAGAGATATATTGGAAAAGGATAAGAGAGGGATTTCTCAGAGATAAGCAAAGAATCCTGGAGGAGTTTGGGAGAAACTGAAAGATCTCAGGCTCCTGGATTGGAGGAGGCTGCACAGGGCCTCCAGGGGACAGGGAGCCGGAAACCACCCAGGACCTCTCGCAGTTTCAACCAAGAGGCCTTGAGATGGCAAAGAAGCCTGGGGACTGCCTGGTCTGAAGATGCAGTATGAATGGTCACCAACCCAAGGGGCCACCTGGACCCTCTGCTGGAGCAGGGGCCAAGGCCAGAAGAGCTCCTGCCAAGTGGGGTCTGAGAGTCAGAAGCAAAGTTAAGTTACAGAAAAATCAAACAACCTTTCTCTCACCTCTTAGTGTGTGGACTTAAGTTCAAACCTGCTGCAAGAATGAGACCTCCAAGAACCTGTGAGGATTACTATCAGATTAACCCAGGTGACTTATAGAAATACCTGGCCCTGGGCTGGGACATTAATTCTCCCCTCTCCACAGTGAATTCCACCCCTCGCTCTGATGCAGGTCAGCACAGTGGTTATAGCCCAGTGGTTATACACCTGCCTCTGCTGCTCTCCAACAAGTGAGCTAAGCGCTCTGGGCTTCAGTCCTTTATAAGAAGGCAGGGCAATGTCTGTCCCATGAGATGGTCCCTGTGAGGGCCAGCAGGTGCTTCAGGCAATGGTTCTTCTCAGGTCCCCCGCCAGCCAACCCCAGCTCCAGCCTTACCTTCAGTGGTAAGGCTGTCAATGAAGAGGGAGGAGGAAGTGGTGGTGAGGTCGCCGTCCAAGGGGCCAAAGGAGCTGTCAGGGGAGGCTGAGTAGTGGTCCTCATCCTGGAAGTCCTCGCACGTGCTGCCCTCTGCCTAGAAGAGAGACCCCCGCACTGCTGCCTGGCTAGAGTTGGGCCCTGGATGCATTTAAACCTTCCACTTAGTCTGACCACTTGGGAAAGCTGAGATGAAGGCTTGCTTGAGCCCAGGAGTTCAAGGTCAGCCTGGCCAACCTAGGGAGACTCCAGTTCAAAAAAAGAAAACAAAATGAACAGCAACAACCAAAAAAAAAACAAAAACAAAAACCCTTTACTTTATCCTTCAAGTGTCTTATCTTACAGGACAATTTATCAGCTGCTTCAAATTCTTACTCAAGGAAGGAGCTGAGAGGCCAATCTTGAATAAATAGAGCAAATCTGGACATTTAGCACAGCCAACGTCAGAAAGGGGAGGTTGGACAGATTTTTTTTTTTTTTTTCAGGCCAGAAAAAGACAGCTTACCCCGAGCCTGGACTAATAAAAGAGGCCTATGTGGCAGTGGACCTATAGGGTTCATGTTTAAATGCTGAGTCCAGCGCCTTGTAGCTGTGAGAGGCAGGCCTGCTCCTCACACTCTCCCCTCTGACCAAGGGGGGCACTGGTCTCCAGCTTCAAGGTCAAGTTAAATAAGAGCAAGTGTAGGGCAGCACCGAGAGGCGCTCCCACTGCAAGACGAGTAAGAGGACGGGAGCAAAGAAAGATGCAGTGAGCTCTGCATCAGCCCAGGGTATGAGAGCAGGAGGCTCCCCACCCAGAATCATTGCTGGAAAATTCTAGTAATGAGAAGGAACCGGTACAGGATTCTAAGTGGGAGGTGCCTGGAACGACCCTCCACACCCCCAGGATGACTGCCTCCCTCAAAAGCCAGAGGCCTAGAGCCTCGGCAGGTGCACAGCCTCTGGAGGAGCCAGCTGGGACTGAGGCCCTGCCTCTCCAGGCACCAGAGGAGTTCCCAAGGAGCTGCCTGCTGAAAGCCAAGTCCCCAGAAGCAGTTGTCTTGGGGACCCACAGAGCCCTCTAAAACCTTCCAGAGTGGTCTAATTGGCTCAGAGCAATCTGGAAAACAAATCTTAGCTGGAGGAGAGAAAAAAGACACATCGGGCTGAAGACACCTTGAAACACAGCTCCCTGGGGAGGGGCCTGCTGGCAGACCTCCTTCCCCTCACCTGCACAGGGCCACGTCACAGCAGCGCACACATGCTTCTCACCTCCTGGGCACAGCCATAGGCCAGCCATTCCTGACGATAGCGGTCGAAACCACTGGAGCACCTGCAAGGGAGTCAAAAAGTTAGAGAAGTGAGGGGACCGGAAGAGAAGCCCTCCACTTTCATGTCCCCTATTCAGTACATCCTTGAAGACAGTGAGGAGGGGCTCAAATCCTGCTCAAGCTCCCCAGGTGCAGGAGGGAGGGGAGGATGTTTGTGTATCTCCACCTTTCTTAGGAACAGCTCTTGGGATTAAGGCCGCAGCTG